CGCCCTTTTGTGGCAATTCTAGTGTGGCCCCATCACACTTGCTATCTACCCCAACCCATGAAGGATACTCTAACATGAAGCAATTAAGGAATCCTTCAAAAACAAATCTTTCTACATGTCTGCTTGGCAGGTCGTGTGCGTCCGTCAAAACGAGACTTGGTAGACACTGTGCGTTTTAGGGTCGTGAGTATGAAAATAAAGAAGGGGCTTGCACGCACACAATGCACACACAATGAAAATGCATTGAATGAGGCTTTAGATTGCAAATTCGCCTGGCTGGTAACCTGCTCAATGTTGAGTCCTAAATCAATTTGCGCAAGGCAGATGCGTCAAAAATAGGCAGTATTGCCTGCACAAATTTAGCCAGGCCAGGTTGGCTAGACAACGGAAACGCGCTACTGACCGGCCCCATTCGCGACTGCCCACCATCAGTTTGGCTGCCCGGCTGCCTGAAGGAGTAGAGGAGGAATCTGCTCCTGCGAGAGCACTAGACTGACCCGAAGCCAATATGCCATTATGTACCAGATGTGGTCCCCTGAATGGACAGTGATCAATGGCTGTCTGTGGCAGGGATTTTTCCACATGCCCACAAGTGACGCATATGGCCGGAGAGAAGTTATCGCGAAAAATGGAAATTAAAGCAAAATACTGCCATGGGTAGCAGTGGGACAAGAGTGGAGGAATAAATGTCAGAACCAGGCAGTCTTTGAAGCCCAAAAGGCGCATACACAAACCTTTCTTGCCGACTAGCCGCCAAGACGAATTCTGTATTGAAGACTGCAAGCAGAAAAGACGATGGATCAAGTTCGAGGCCCACGGACAGCTCTTTCAAGAGCAGGGTTCCATCCTCGGCTTTCCAATATTTCATGGCCTAGTCTAAGTCAATGACGATTAGGTTTTGCCCTAATACCTTTTACTCATTGGGACTGAAGGGATGTCCAAACCTCGCCACTATTTAGTCAAGCCTTGCAAAAGGTTTCAAACTTTAGTCATGTCGACCAGAAAGCAAGCAAGTTAGACTTAAGGACGCAATGTTTCCGTGCCCTAAGTAGTAGGCACGAATGTTTCGGCATTATAAGGTCTTTACACAAAATGACGCCAACATTTTGGTAAAAATACCGGAGACATGCTTCAAAAGCGTTTTAAAAACTTACAATTGAACTCAAGCCGAAAAGCTGGCAAAGTCCCTTGGCAACATCCAACATTACACTAACTTTGATTAATCGGCCTAGGCGAAATTCCTTTACAATCCAACAATCTACATTAACCACATGGAGTCAGTTGAGGGCAAAAAAACAACTCTTACTTAATTAAAGCAATTTTTGCTACGAATGTCATTATATAATAAAGTGCACCTGTGGCACAGCCGCAAATGCCAATGAGGAATCATTCGGAATGGGCTGACCCATATTCCGAGTTGCAAAAAACCACATAATCACGGATGACTTGCACCTAAACCAGTTTCAACGGCCGGAAGAATTAGTAGCTACTCTTACAATAACAAGAAATTCGTTGTTTGCATCTGAGCAAATGTTAATCCATATTATGAAGTTCACAAGGGACAAGCTAACCGCCTCAGATGATAAAGCTATACAATTGTTGATCAGGTTGAATCTTCTCCACTACCAGTAGGCCAACTGTACAACTCTGATTAAACTTTCCGATAAACGTGAATATAAAAAAAACTTTGCGGCCTCCTTGCAACTTATAGAAGGGGTCTGACATTGTTTTTGCAACTTAGTTGTGTTGTCAGGGCGACCAATTTAGACGCAACTTGCCCAGAGTCCTCTCCTATAGAAGGTATGATAATTCCCAGCTTTAAAGAGTTAAGTATGTCAGAAGTAACTGAAGATGCCAAAAAAATCTGGGAATGTACCAAGTTCACGGTCCAATGCTGGGAATTATCACAACCCGGACAAAATGCGTCCAACTGGGTCGCCCTGACAACTCGACCAAATTTAGAAAAGGTCAGACCATTTCTTTCAGATAAACAGTTTTATATTTAAAAGGAGAAAATTGCGGAGATCAACTCGCAAATTTGTGCAGCTAAGCTTGCTGGTAAATCAGAGCATTTGAGCCACTCCAGAGACAGAAGCCTATCATATACTAAGGTACGGAGAATTCTATCCTTTATGCTGTCCTAAATTTGGGGTTTCGGATTCACCACAAGCATGTGGCATACTTTTATCGGATAGCCCGCCATTTACAGCCAGCATCTTTTTCTTAACGATAAAAATTAATCCGGGTTCTCAAGTGGTGCTTATGGCACCACGTTATTTGCAGGCTAAATACCATAAAAAGGGTGACGAGCGATTGGGTGCTGAAAAATTTTATGCTGATTTAATCTAGATTCGCACCTACGTGAAGTTTCATGCCAAGATTTAGCTACAAATTTAATAATAATCTTGACGCCTTGGAAGAAAAAGTAAGCCGAGAATATGTGAATCGGCAAGGAACATTTATATTATAGAAGTGGGTTGACCTCATTTTCTCAACTTGGTCTTGTTGTCAAGGCTACCTATTTGGACGCACCCTGTCCGAAGTTCTCTGTTATAGTAGCTATCATAATTTCCAGCATCAGAACATGGACTTGCTCCATCTTCAGGCGATTCACCGGCATCGTAGTTGACATCATCAGTGAGTCCTGCCATTCGCAGCACCAAGCTACAACTCGTCAGGGACAAGGAGACTGCGACCATACCGAGGACGACATCATCTTGATCTTTATCTCTTCCATTTAGATTATAGTTTACAATGTAGCAAAAGCTCATTGTATCCTTCCACCTCTGCGTTTGTATTAAAAGTTGAAATGGCTAAATCCCCCACGAGTGCGAAGGAACGCTTCTGGCCTGCTTTGACCGAACTGTCATTACGAATAGCCTAAAAAAGGGTTCTTTTCAAGGATATACCTCTCAGCCTGAAGTCCAAGAAC